CCAAATGGATGTTCTGCTGAACCAATAAGTAAAATTTAGGGGAAGCAAGAGTCCCAGTACTCAGCAGGCAGCCTCCGTGAGGTCTCCTCTGGGATCCAGGTCTCCTGGAAGGAGAAGGAGCTTCCAAAAACTTTAGCCATGATGAATAGCATGTTCATCACTGCCTCACAAATCTCCAGCTCTTTAAAAAAAAAAAAAGAAAAAGACTTCAGTTATTGTCCACCTTTGACAAGCAAACCCCATCCTTATCTAAGCTCTGGGCATCATGGTTACCATTACCTGGAGCCTCCTATATGCCAGCCCCATGCATTTTATGTATATTTTCTCTAATACTCAGAACAACCTGGTAAAGTAGGTGTTTTCTTTATCCAGTGCCATCGAACAAACCACCCCAAAACTTAATAGCTTAAAACAACAACCGTGTATTCTCATGACTGTGGGTAAGTGGGCAGTTCAGCTCGCCGTGGTGTGTCCCGCTGCACGCTGGGGTGTGGTGCCTCAGCTCTCCTCCACGTGGCCTCTCTTGCTCCCGTCCTCCAGGCCTTCTCCACGTGGCCTTTCTCTCCAGCAGAATAGCCAAGACTGCCTTCAAGCATGGCAGCTGTGTTTCCAGAGGGGAGGCTTCAAGAGGACACACCTAGGCGTACAAGTGCTTACGAAGGCACTGCTTACACTGTGCTTGCTAGTGTCCACTGGCCAAAGCCATCCAGCGTGGGAGGGGGCTTCACAAGGACATGAATATCATGGGATTTGTTGGGGGCCACCACTGGGACAGTCTGCCACAGTAGGTGTATTGCCTCTTTTGCAGCTTAGGACACTGAGGCTCAGAGAGGTTAATCCAGTTGCCCAAAGTCATTCCACATAGCCAGGAGCAGAGGCCCCCGCTCTGTCTGATGCCAAGGAACATGTTCTTTGCCACCAGTACTAGGTCAACCTGATACAGGTCTAGGGTAGGGGGGGGCAGGGACAGGAGCCCAGTGTAAATGGCCCTGAACTTCCAGGCCTCTTTCACCTGCAGGACAGCCCAAGAGATTTCCTGGCCCTTCTGGTGTATGCCCTTCCTGATGGTTCCACCCAGCAGATCAGACCCGTGGCTGTGTGAGGCCACAGACAGCAAAGGGAAGTACTGAAAGCATGCTCCAAGCCGCGATCCAAGTTTTTCAGTCTGGTGTTGTGGCCCCACCTACCCCCGCCCCTAACAGTCTTGTCCCTTCCTCTCCTTTACTCCAGGACAGCTTCTACAGCACTGGCTTGCTTGGCGTTTCCCCCTCACCGCCCCCCACCATGCGTTCTTAGCCACTCTGCCTGGAATGCCCTCCCACTTTTTAAAACCCTCTGAGAAGAAGGAGCCCACCTGTGGCCACCCCAGCCCCGGTTCTTCTCCCAATCACAGCATTCACTACATCAGGCCGTGACCTCCTGAGCACTTCTCTGTCTGCACTTCTCTGTGGTGATCTCTTAAGACCCCTCTCTGACTCACAGCACCCACACCCAGCAGTGGAGGACTGAACTGAAGGGTGTTCCTCCAGAGGGCTGCTCAGAGTCTCAGCACAATGCCCGTGTTTTTCTGCAGCTCCCATGATGTTAGCAGGCATCTGCTGGGTGCCCTGCCTTGCACTGGAAACAGGCAGCACCAGGTCATGCAAGGCCCATGTTCCAGCCCAAATTCTTTCCCTTGTTAGCTGGGTAACACTGAGAAAGTCACAAAACCTCTCTGAGGTCAGCCACCCCTCTGTATCCAGTACAGACAAGAATAATCTTCTCTGTCCACCTCGCCCAGGATCAGAGTCAACAGGAGCTTGGGGTTGAGAAAGGGCTTCCTTGGAAACTGACAGAATATTCATTTGACAGGGGTCCTTCCCTTTAAGAGGTCTGATTTGTAGGGCTCTAGGAAAGGCTTCTTTCTACCCAAATGGTTTTCTATTCCCTGTACCCCTCAATCTATCATGATGCCTGAAATTCTTCCATTTGTTATTCTTTTGGGTGAAGTATCATTTATATCCAGATGGCCCCTTTTAAAAGATGCCAACTGATCTAAAAGGGTGACATGATAGTCCAGAATCAAAAGCCTGCTTAACCATTAATAAACATCTCTTTCATGGTCATTCTCTGACACTGGTGTTGAAAGGTAAGAGGCATGAGCTTGCTGGAGACCAGGTTGGCGATACTTATCAAAAGCTTTGAAAATATGCACACTCTTTGATGCCACAATTCCTCCCCTGGCAATTTATTCTAAGAAAACAATGTGGTCAAATCTGTGTATACACTCAAGTCTTACTTATAGCAGCACAGAATTATAAATAATCTAAATGCTCAAGAATAAGTCATCAGCTAAGTAACAATAGGTATATACAATGAATACTGCCAGGGCCAGCTTCACGGGCCGCAGGCCGATGCCCTCAGGGGCCTCATGCTCGGAAGGTCCCCTCACTTGGCTTAATGCTTCGTTGTCACTATCTTAAAATTCTTAATCATTTTTGAACAAGAGGCCCCTCGTTTTCATTTTGTGCTGAGCCCTGCAAATTATGTAGCCATTTCCCAAGTATTATATAACAATTAAAATAATGCTTATGGAGAATATTTGTTGAAGTGGGAAATTGCTTCTATTAAATGAAAAAACAAGGATACAAAACCATAAATAATGCAATCCTAATTTTTTAAAACCAGAAATTGTGTGTGTGTGTGTGTGTGTGTATTGATAGGAAAAAAGACTGGACAAAAACACATCAAATGTTAGAACAATTTATCTTTGAAGAAGACTGCATATGTTCTGTTTATTACTATTCTCTTCTTTGAGCATTTTTTCTGTTTTCCAATACAGAGGGTGTGAGTATGCTCATTGACTAGTATTTTTGGAAGAGGCGAAAGTGTGTATGTTATAGCTGTGAATAAGTGAGTCTTCCGTGTGTCTCTGATTGAGGAGATCAGTTGATGAAGAAACAGAGTGTTCTTATGAGCAGCTGGAGGGTGAGGACTGATTTCTTGGTCCCCACTTCCTTTCACAGGCCTGACATGGGTGAAGCACCCAGTGAGTGGGCATCTTATCTTATTTGTGGCATGAGCGCGTTAATAGTCTTCACCCATGACACGTCTTATCAGACACTAACCACATTGTGTTCTCACTTGGAGGATGGACCTTCTCCCTGGCTTGGGGCTGGACACGTGCTCTGAGTGAATCCCTGGGCCAGGGATCGGAGCCACCCCCCAAATCCTGTTGTGCCCCATCTCCCTCTGGGAACAGGCTCCAGCAGCAGAGGTCAGACTTAACTCCTGTGAAAGCTGACAGGACACACCTGGCCCCACCTGCCTCCCCTGTGCACGTCTCACTGCAGGCTTCACCCCGACAGCAGAGGGCAGTAGGGATCAGCACGCAGGGGGTCTGGGGGAGGGGGAGGTGCTCCTGTAAGGAGTGGCCCCACTTACTCCACGTCCATTTCCCAGATTTCTCCTTCTCTCCCAAATTCTTGTCAGGCTGTTGCTGAGTGTCCTGACTCAGCGGAGCATGGCTAGGAACACAAGAGCCTTAGCTCTCCAAAGCCAGGGTCTCTTATGTCAGATAGGAACATAGGGGCCCATAGAGGGGATGGACTCGCTCGGAGCCACACAGTGACCATACAGTGGGGAGGCAGGGCTCAAAATGTGGGACTGCCCCATATGGAAAAGCTATTCAAAAGGAGGTAGGCAGCCACAAGTGTGAGAGATGCCCACTGCTCCTGTGTGCCCAGCTCTTTGACACAGGACCCCACCTAGACCATGCACCAGTGGCTATGCTGGGGAGACAGGACAGTCTTGCCTCTGAATTCCAACACTTTTTTGAGCCCTGTGTTTCTGGGTGGGCCCTTGCTGCTCCAACCAGACTGTGAGATCTCCCAAGGACACGGGCTGGGCCTCTTCCTCCTGTCTGTCTTCTCTTCAGCATGCCCAGCACCTGGCAAGGCACACAGTGCTTGGGGAGGATGTGATAGCTCCAGGTGGGAGCTGGAGGGTGGGGTGTATCAGCAGTGCTCACCTGTGCTCCTCCAAGCCCAGACAGGTTGGTGGATCTTCCTCCTCTTTCCCCGTAGTTCCCAGGTGCCCACCTGATGAGCTCCAGAGCAAGCTTTGTGCCATCCCATCTCTGTGCCTTCCTCTCGTGACGGCCTGCCCCTCTCTCCCAGCACCCTTTTTCCTCTCCTCCAGGGCCCAGCATAGTGCCTCCTCCCCTTCTGCCTATAACTCGGGTGACACTGGGCACTTTAAGAAGCAGTGCAGAACAGTGGGGAGGGGGACCTCATAGCCCCACAGATCTGTGACCTGACCAGGCTCATCACTGAGCACCTGGGTGAGCTTGGCAAGTGCCTTGACCTGATCTGTAAGGAACCTGATCTGTAAACGGAGATGCTAACCTATGCTCCAAGTGGACAGTCATGAGGATTTGGAGACAGCACAGGGAGTGCCTGGTAGAGCAGGCAGGCCACTAGCAGCTACATTTGTACATGTAGTTGGTTATTTATATCCAAGGTCTTTCTGTCCATGAAAGGAAGAGCTCTCTGAGGGCAAGGGTGGGGTCTTTTGGTGTCTCAGGAACTAGCAAAGGCTGATACAGTGAATGAATGTTTGAAATGTCTGGGGAAGGGCACAGTACTCTGAGAAGTCTGCTTTTTCCAGCAAGAGGCAGAAAAACATCCCTCACCACCCACTCCCAGTCTGTGCTCAGCCCTTAGATGCCCCTCCTCCCCCCAGCCCCATTCTCAGCCCTCACAATGACCAGCCCCACCCCAGTGACTTTCTCCTTTCTAATTACCCTTTTAAGTGAAATATATGAAGGAATCCATAAATTTTAAAACTGACTTACACACTTAAATAAGAGCACGTGGCGGACAGGGAGTGTTAGGCTGAAAATTGTATATAATGAAATTGACATGAGCACATCCTAAATTATCAAGGTTGAAGGCTGCTCCCTCCCCCGGCCCCCGGGGGCTGCTCACTTAGGACTGACAACTGTGCTTCTTGCTTGGCAGACCACAGTGAGCTGGGACGGGGACAAGCTCCAGTGTGTGCAGAAGGGTGAGAAGGAGGGGCGCGGCTGGACCCAGTGGATCGAAGGGGACGAGCTGCACCTGGTAGGTTTCTGGGCCAGACCAGGCTGTGCCCCCAGAGGCCCTGGTTAAGGCTGAGGTCTGGATGGAACAAGGCACCATGGCCGGGCCTTGAACTTGATCTGAAGCTTCTCTTCCAAGGGCCTGGAGGAGGTGCTCAAGTGACTTTAAAAGACCAAGCAGTGTGTTGTTAAGATCTAGGCTGACCCAGTCAGAAGGAGGAGGTGAGGAGGAACCTCTACCAAACATCAGCCATGAGCTAAATAAGCCCTTTTGCATTCCATATCTTTCTCTTCCCTCAAAATACGAATATGGCTTGTATTTTGGAGATGAGGACATAGGGGTTCTGAAATGTTAGATTACATGCCCAAACTGCTCATCAAGTGAGTAGCAGAACCAGCATTTGCTTCCTAATGAGGTATATGTTCACCATGCTGAGTTGCAGAAGCCAGAGCCCAGGAGAATTCTCTAAGCTTAGAGTGGGGCTCAGGGAAGGGCCCCATTCACCCTGTCCTCCAGCCTGGGACCTCAGGTCAAAGCCACTTCCACTCTGTCACTGTCTAGGAAAAGCACACACAGATCCAGAGCAGAGGCCTTAGCCCCTGAGAGCTAACGTAACATGTGTCCTCTGAGGGGAGACCTCCTATCATTCCTGTCCTTCCTTGGCACTCCCTAATGACCTTCCTTCCTCGGGATGAGACTGGTCCAGGTGACTGGGTTCTGACCCCAGGCAACTCACCGGGTGCCCTTGGATAGGTCCCTTCCTTTCCTCAGCCTCATCTGCAAAATGCCATCCTACCACATAGGGGTTGTGTGAAGATCTCCTCTGGTCTGCAAGAGCTTTGAGAAGTGAGCACAGAGGAGAGGCATGAGGCCATTGTTTCTGGAGGCAGCTTAGCCTAATGCAGCGAGTCTAGGCTCTGAGCCTGAGCCTGAGCCTGAGCCAGTCTCCTCTGTACACATCTATCTCCTCAACCACAGAGCAAAGAGGGCAGATCAAGTGATCTCCATTGGCACTTGTGGCTCTATGCCAGAGGTTGCAAACTGGGGGCCATCAGCCTGTTTTATTTGGCTCTCAAAAGGCTTCAAACTTCTTCAGCCAACCATTTAAAAATTAGAAGATGTCACATAAACATTCAGATATCCAGTCTCTTTCAAAAAATAACTTGGAAGACGTGGCAGTACTGCTGTCATTGCCCCCTGGCCACAGTCAGCAGAAGCTGAGCAGGACCTGGCCTTGTGGGCAGGGCAGGGGCCGTCTTGGCTGCATTTCAGAACTGCCTGGGAGGCTTTTAATACGAGCATTCCAGTGCTTCACTCACGTGCTACTGATGTAACTGGGTTAGTGTGGGACCCAGGCATGTTTCAAATTCCCCAGGTAAGTCCAACGTGCAGCTGAAGCTTAAACCTGCTACGCTACTTTGCAACCCTGGTCTGTGGTGCCCAGTTGAGCCTTTGGAGGGTGAGCCATGTGTCTGAGCCAATATCTTTCAAGCCTGGGTATGGACTCTGTCCCAGGCTCAGTCCTGAGCTCTTTAAGCCTTTTAGCCCCTCGAGGGTGGTAGGGGGAGGGGAGGTATCAGGGTCCTATTGGTCAGCTCCAAGCCACGTCTGTTCCTCCAGCCAGGTCATCTGTAGGGTGCGGCAGAGACTGATCTCCACTATCCAGTGCAACAGACTTTCCAGATAATTGGTTTGTTAAACCAACTTTTGGGGGAAAATAGCAGCCACTGAGTATTTTCATTGTCCCTGCCCCTAGATGCACTGAGCCCCAAGTGTGTGTGACTTTGCTCTGGCCAACAACCAGCATCTGCTTTTGTTTCAGGAGATGAGAGTGCAGGGTGTGGTCTGCAAGCAAGTATTCAAGAAGGTGCACTGATGTCCAGGCAGACGACCTTGGTCTCAAGGAATGAGTGGTGTGGACATGTGGGCCAGCATCATCGTCTTGGCATGGCATGGGGCAGAAATGACAGCCATTCCCAGGCACCTGTTAGCAGACTCTGTCTCTTGGCTTTGTCTCTTCCTCTTCTTAAAATGAAGCCATATCAATAAAAGTGATCTCTGTTCAAGACATTTTTCTGGGGGGGACGTTTCATACCCACTGTGTCCACTTTTTCTCTGTGGCTTCTGAGGCCACCCCTGGGCAGAAGGAAGAAATTCGATCACACATCTGCAGATTTAGTCCTGAGAACCTGTGCATGTCTTACTCAGGGGCACAGCTTTGGGTCTGGGGTGTGCGTGGCCTGACATCAATCATCTGTGTATTAAGTACCTACCGTGTTGTGTGTCTAACTGGGGCCAAAGTGTAGTGAGCGCTGCAGAAGCAGGAGAAGATGCTCTCCACCCTGGAGCCTAGTTAGGGAGATTAGACCAACAGACCATGGCTTCATAACTGCCCTGTACACAAAGCAGATGCTGTAAAATTATTTGTGAATGAAATGGAACTGAAGAGAATTTTAAGCCCAGAGCTAGAATGAGGTGAACCCTGATCAAAGGCAGTTACCTACTAGATTTGATTTCACAGGTGTCACATACTTTACCACCCCAAGACTATCCCCACCCTGTCTATGGGCTGGTGTAATGCCTTTCTATTCACTATTACAGATGAGAGATAACTTGCAAATCCGCTAGAAGAGGAAGAGCAGCCTTGTGTTCACACTAAAGTGTAAATGATTGCTAGCTGTGCCTTTACATAAACACAGGGAAACTGAAGGGGGAGTGAGGGGGAGGTGAGAGATCTTGGATAGAGAAAACAATCGGAAAAGGAAAGATTCACACAGAAAACCCCCTTGGTCAACCTGACAATCTGCCCAGCCTGTGCCTTACCCCTGGGAAAGAACACTGGGTTAGGATTGAGATGAGCTGAGCAGGAATGCCAACTTCAGGCCGGCCCGGGGGCGCACTGGATAAGTGCGCCGCTTGGGAAGCGCGGCGGCGCTCCCG